CTTGTTTTTATGACATTTTCATCTCCTCTATGCATCAAATTTTACATTTGTAATTTCAAATTCCCATTTTTCTTTTAAACTTTGGAAATTTTGTTCTTCCTTCGGTTTGTTGGTCTCACCGTACAAATTTTACTCACACCACACGAGCTTTTTATCTCATGTAATTGATAAATACAGCCTTTCCAGTTCTATAGTGACATCGCACAATACTTAATTTCCACCGGTGTTCGAATTCCAGTGACAACGAAGAGATTGTTTGAACAGCTGGAAATCTGAACCAGCATCCTCTTCCACGGGCTTTATTGGCCACCAAACCTTACTAACCCCGTGGATCAAACAATGGAAGAACGGATTAACCAAATGCCCAGCACTTAACGACCGAATATGATTTGAAATCAAACCAAGTCTCTTAAAAGATCGATGATCGAATTTATACGACTATGTGCAACGTAAACAAAAGCAAATAATTGGCAAAAGAAGTTGTGTAATCGAAAAAAGGTCCAATGCCCGAAGACATTAGCTCGAGATTTTTGAACTCATTTAACAGACACTACGTTTTCCTGACTGCTGAGAACACAAAATACCGCATCGCCACGGAAAGTCCACTTGTTCAGCAATATTACCAATAGTTCCCAAAGCAAAGGGAATGGACTGTCGGCGATCAGTGAGCTGCGCCATAAATTTAGTTAGCCTCCATTCTGAATAGTAATGAGGCATTGAACTAGGCCTACACAATGATTTCCAGTGACGATCCAATATTAAGTACGGTTTCATGCCTGTCATGGCCAAGCAGCCCCGTAGAAATGTAGGACTTAACTGGACTCATGAGTTCAATTATTCGAAGGGCTTACCCACTGCTCTAATTCAAATCATTCTTCAGACGAAAAGTTGGAAACCCGTAAACGTTCATGAATTTGGCCCTTACACTTATGGTTAGCCCCTGGGCGCTTCACGCTACCCCTAATTTGAGATGCTTCACCTCTATGGTTACATTTCACCCTTTAGCAAACATTTGAAAGCGGACTCGATCTTTCGCAACCCCCACTCGTTGTCAATACGTGATGGAATAACCCCTTCAATCACGTAACAAATAAACTAGTGCGTTCCTCGTAGCTCTTGTGTATCAGCAAAGGCGCGATGATCAAAATATCGCTGCGCTGCACGCAGCGAGCTGAACGCACTTTGTGCGCCTTCACTGACAGCAGCTGGTTTCCATCCGTCATTAACTTATCCCACGCTTTGTCAACGCACACTTGTTTGAAAGCTCATCTCCAGCGAAACTAGACTAGTACCTCAGAAGACACCCGTTGGTGCACGTAAACCAACAGTTTCTTCTTTCAGCTAGCTTAGTTGAATGGCAACCGATCAACCAACCATTCCATCGCAATCCATCGCAATATCGGAAACAGCGAGTTATTTGACAGGAACTAACGCACCACTGAAATGAGAAGCCAAACCCGACATTTCTGTGAAAAAGGTCGGATACAAGCACACACCAACGGAAATGGGTGATGAACATATAAAGAACAGCGGGAAGGGGTTGTGCTCTCTTAGTACTAAGGATTAGGATAAGAGTTTTCGTGACACGTAATATGTTTTACTTCTGATAAACCGGTGCGGTGTGGAAGAACTCCTTAGGTAAGGTTGCTGTGGTCAAAGAGAATGGTACTGAACTATGGTATGGACATCCCTGCCTAGGCGCAAGGGTGTAGGAGCCTAGGAAGGACGACCTCATACATACCATAAGTTGCTTAGGATTGAGTAGGATGTGCGTGATGTGGGGCATACACCGGTCCTTATCAAAGGTGCACTAAAAATGAGTCTTCTACATTTTATCGTATCCAGGAGGTCAAAGGCCAAACGGGTGCTTCTTAGTACCACTACAGATAGTGTAAGTGAGTGCGCGCTCCTCCAACCACGTGTCAATCTCGTGGTGCAAAAGAGGGGTGTGTAATATTGCGAGGTATCTAGTTACAGTATGGAGTGATGATTCTATGAAAAACGGAGAGTGATAAGGTGTAGCGGGTCTGTTGAGTGTTGAGTCGCAGAAATTTTGCCCGTTTAACATCCTCATACTCTTCCCCCCCCCCTCCCCCCCACCTCCCGTAGACGGCAATTTGGAGAAGAAGTAGCGATTTTCGCGCAGTCCGACTGACTCAAGAATCAAATACTAGAAACGCCCGACATATTGCAATGCAGCGAGGTGGTGAGGTGGTCTTGTGATGGCTAACCATGCGGGGGGGCGTATCCGAGGTTCTCTAAAAGAGGGCGGTCGTAAAATTTCGAATGTTCCAACGTGACGCTACCTGCTTCCACTGAAATAAGTTCACACAAGAAAGGATAATAAACGGAAGTATTAAGCGCCAAGTTCTTAAACTAATACTACAACTTCGTGGATTACGCTGAGCTGAAGTAAAAATGTGGTAACCGCGGGAAAAGGGCGAAATGAAATGGTGGTCCGGGAAGAGAAAAGGAAGAAGAAATGTCCAAAACACTGAGAATAGGGCCCCTTCTCCACGTTTCCACTCACAGGAAAAATGCTGCAATTTGTACCGTTTTACCCGTCCCTCTGTTTCTCTTTACGAAATAACTGTTCCAGCTCCACCCATTCCGACGCATGCTCCTCCCACAATGGATTTAGTCACGTATAACAATTCACGATGTACTTTGGATGGGTATGTAGACATTACATCAAAGTAAATGGAGCAGCTGATGTTCTAAACAATTTTTTGGTCTTGTGGACGAGCAACGGAAGGATACAAACTTGTCTGTTCCGCGAGAATTCAATCCATACACTATGCGTGCGACTGGTGTGCTTTTTTCCTGAGCACTCTCTTCGGTAGTTAGGGTAAAAGAGGCATGGTCAACGTGTTGATAATTATATTGTCATACAGTATATATAATTGCATTGCTACATTGCACAGTAAACGACGGAAAGTCCTCCGCTGATCTGTTTGATCCCAACCATCGAACACTCAAGTGCAGAAATGCAGAGGCGAGGGCCGCGGGTAGAGACGCAGCGTAGCGACCTCTATGCGCGATAATTCTCGGAAATACGCCTTCTTTTTCCAACTCCTTCTCTGACTTTTGACTCAACCACCCCCATCCTCCGTATACCTTGATTCTAGTCAGGGTCTTCACCCACTCACTATCTGACTCATTCCACTCAATTGCGCAGCGAACCCCAGTGGTAGTGAGAACGTCACGGTCGAACAAGTCCGAGAATCAAAGAGGCGTGAAATAGGAAAAGAAAAATAAGCATCAACTGTGTAACATTCCAAGCTGTAACGAAACGGCATAAAAAGTCTCCCGAATCGAAGCAAGAAAGAAGGGTGAGATCCGGAAATTCATAAAAAAAAGCACACTGACAAAAAACCGCTAAAAACTCAAGACTCACATGAAGAAAATTGATCAGCATTAGGATTAGACCGTACGATGACAAGCCTCCTGTGTAGGTGGTGTTCAGTCGCCGTAAAATTAAGAACTGCTTCAGTACTAGTATTAACGGCTCCACCACAGGAAACTCTTCCTTCACCTGGAAAATGGCTGCCTCCGATTGACAAAAAATAGTGGACGCAATAAACAAAAATTAAATAAATAAATAAATAAATAAATACAGGCGATAAATTCTGATCATCTCATGTTTAGAACTCTCAACATTCACACAACACTGCGTGGTTGGCCTGATCATATCCAATGCGCAAAGTGATTTCTAGTGAGACGAAAGCGGTAACGCATTGTAAATGTAGAACAAAAATTTATCTATTTGTCTAAAAGAGATGAGATGGTGTAGTGGCAAGTGGCACGCTTACCACGCGAGCGGTCCGGGATCAAATCCTGGGTCGTGAGTCGCCCGGGCCAACCAAGCCTTCCATCCCTCCGGGGTCGGTTAATTGGTACCAGACTTGTCTGGGAGGATAAAAACACTGACTTGTACATCGGCTGGCCCCCGCAAGTCATTGTATAGGCCACATCGCATTCAAATGCCAAATTCTAAATGGAAGTAGAATGCGTGGCGCATCAAAAGGGATTGATCAACGAGAATAGCATCTTTAGCTGTATTCCTGCACTAACCATGAGCGGAGGCGATAAATTGGCACAAGGTGGAACATGTCACTCGCTCCGTTCGGAAATCAAACCTCCGGTCAAACATCACTAGCATCAGGCAAACCTGGCCCTTCATCTGCAAGACCCTGATTTCGGGTGAGTCAGTAAACGGGCGTGAGCGCATTCAAACGACGCCACGATTGTGAGTTCGAGTGGAATCCTTGAGCCCGAAACCGGATTGATTGACACCAAGTTCTTCATCTTTTCGCCTCTCTATGCATTAAAACTAGGATTCGCGCAATACTCAAACAGAATTACTACCATTAGATGGGGGGGTGGGGGGCGTGAAAGTAAAGTAACAAGCTAGCTATCCGCAGAATACTGTCCTGATAACATAAGATTACGCAGGCCAGAAAGCTCAGTTTCAACCCAAGGCTTCTAGAAATTCAATTGAGCGCGTTTTAAAGCATAAGGAGTACGGCAGCCAGTAAGCTCACTTTGCAACCTAAGGCTCTCTAGCATTCAATCGAGCTGCGTTTAAAACTTCAGTTCTCCTTTGAATTGATCGATATGATACTGGTGGACTAGTTACAATAGAGCAAGTGGTTAACACGATAAGCAACAAGTCAACATTACTAAACGAATAAGCTAACCAAAAACCACCTACTTTCGGTTCTCTTGACCGATCCTAACCTTCGCCGGTGATTACTAAAGATTTCCGTGCAAAAGAGAATTATGAGTATTTACCAATTTTTGGAGTCCCCTCAAAAACTTCTTCAGTGATTCAACTCCATTCTATTCATCTATGACCTACTGACATTCCCTTTTGCTGGAGAGTCTACCTTGAATTCGAGGGATTACTGCCCCTCATCACTGTGGCGCACGATGTCCACCATAGTATGTCGGAAGATGTCCCTTTTCTACATTACACATCCTATCCCCTTACGGCTGCTTTTCTCCCAATCCTTTTCAGCAAGTATGACAATTTCGAAAGCTATCAATCAATCCCTACCTTTTCTATGTAATCAGCGGCCTTCACACCTTGTGCAGTGTTGAACGAAATGTCAACGTTCACCAGTGTGTCTTTTTCCACCATTTTCACAATCGGCACAAACGCGTCCGAGAACACCGCTACTGACTTCGCCAAACCGACTTCTTCCAAATGGTTCGCCGTTTCCTGCATACAACGAGCCTGAAAGCACCACGAATTTAAGAAACAGAGCATTGAAAAACGATAGGAATGGAGGCATCGTGATACCTCTGGGAAAAAGTATGAAACAAAAGGAAAGATGAAGAGCGATTCTTACAGGTGAGAAGAGTTTCTAGGAAGGGAGCCTAAGTAAGGCTACGAATTTTAGGACCTTAAGGGGGAGGATAGCAAGTGTAAAGGATGAAATTAGATGTAGAGAAGAAGAGAATTCTGACCCCAATAATCTCCTTATTTGAGAGAACAGGCTTCCCAAAAGCCTTTAATAGAGACGAATTTAAGCAACTTGTGTTTAGCGCTCGGTATTAATTGATCCCTTTTAGTGCTTTCATTCTTCTAGACAAGTCTCTGAGCAATCAGCCAAGTGAAAAGAGAACGTAGGACTTCTTTTGTGTAAGAATTGAAATCTGAAATTTTGCGCAACCCTCTCGACTACTAAGCTCTAGGGATAAAGGACTGACAAGAGCACCTGCCGGGAACCTAGGCAAATGGGAGAAATACCCAGTCAGGCCTTCCATTGCGAAGCATGAGCTTGGCCGGGATTGTAATAGGCTTCTTTTAGGCACTACATCAGCTTCTTCAATGTTCCTCTACTCCAGCATTTTGTTCCAGTCCTTCTTTGTATGACGATCATGAAGGAAGGCCACCAAAATGTAGAAAATGTGAAGGGAAGGAGATGCAGGCGGATTCTTGTACGAGCCCCAGTCCCAGTTCACCTGGAAGAGAACTGCTTCCACAAAGCAGTAAATTACGGCTGATTTAAACATGGGAAACAAAGTTCCGTTCTGTCATGACTGTTCAACTACGGACGTTGGAGCGAAAATTTG